TGTCATGTATCTGCCCCATTTCCATTGCACTTCAACAGCATCTTCCAGATGGGGATTGGGAGAGGTGGAGAGCATACCTGAACCTCAAACAGAGTTGCCATCCCCCCTATTTGTTGTTTTACTGATAGTTTGCAAACGTTTTAACTAACATATGTTTTACCTAGCATGGGTGTAACCCTGTGCCAGAACCTTGAAAAGTGCTGGGTTCAAAATTAGGGATTCAATGCCAACCATAATAATAACAATAATTAAAAAAAATGGCTGTCAGTAGAAACTGTGGAGATTGCAAGTTTGACACTCTGTTGCCCCCACCCCAGGGGTCCCCTACCCACACCTACACCCTGATACCCCCAACTTACTCCTATATCCTCATACCATGCTGCCCCTCCCCACCTCACAGCCTTCCTGCCATGCCTTGGCATAGATACCCACCACCACCCCACAGCTCTGTTACAGCTGCAACACCCCCTTCTCATTCGCCCCAAGACTGTGCACCCCTGTGCAGGTGGAACTCAGTAGTTATAAGCTGGGACCAGATGTAACAGCAGCCCCGTGTGGCTTGGAGGAAGAGCTGTCTGTGAAGACTCATGGGTAACAAAGCCCTGGAATAGCTCCATGCAGGGTGCTGCACTCGCGCTTGAGCACCAGTCGGCTGCTTCAACGTCAAACCTTGCTCATAGATCTTCAAGAAAGGTTGCTTAGTGTTTTTACAGACCACTCCATTTTTAGATGTGTTAATTTACAGGCTGTCCATTAACTTAGGGACAGTTAGCCCTAAACCACACACTCTCCATTCATCCCTCCAGAACAAGCCAGGCACAACAGATGAGAGGGAGGCACCTCATGGTTGGTGCTTTGCATGAGGCTGAAGTTGGTTCCTTCTTCCTGGTTCTTGGCAGTCCTCCTCTGTAGTCAAACCCCAGGTCTGGGAGCTGGACTCCAGCGGGGTTAGGGACCACTTCCCCTCCTGGTGCTACTGCTGCCAAGGGTGAAGCTGGCCTCTCTGCTCTATGGGGGAGGCTGAATGGATCCAGGCAGGCTGGGGGTGGGGTGGTACATGCCTGCCTCCCCTACCTGCTCCCCATCTTCCCCCTCTCCCCTGCCATGGCTGGAGCAAAGCTGAGCAGAGAGAAGGCAGATGTGGGCTGCCTTCTGCAGGTTTGGGGCTCTCTACCTGCTGCCTTTGCCACGGTAGCCCAGCAGTGGGGGCTTCAACTTGCTGCCCCCACGGCTGCCAGGCAAGCAGGGGGTGCTCAGCTGGCAGAGAACTCCCAAGGGAAGGGCAGTAAATAGGAGAGCCCCGAGTCCACAGCAAGCAGCCTGCATCCACCCTGCACACAAAACTGGAGGGGCACATGCAGCCCCTGTGCACAGTGGCAGGGAGCTGCCCCCCCCTCCCCCAGGCCTCTGGATGGGCCGCCCATGACTCTGTCCCACTCCCCGCCCCCAGGTCCCATGCACCTCCCTGGCTGGGCAGCATTCCCAGCCCCAGTCCCTGCTTCACTCCCTCCCTCACTATGAGGGCCTTGATCTACACCTCCCACCCCCTTTCCCCTCCATATACCTACCTGCAGGGAGCTGTTCTCCATGCTGCCTGGCTGTTTTCCTGGCCCCATGCATGCATGTGGCTGTGCACATAGTTTCATAGTTTCTAGGGTCGGAAGGGACCTGAGCAGATCATCTAGTCCGACCCCCTGCCATGGCAGGAAAGAGTACTGGGGTCAAACGACCCCAGTAAGGTGGTCATCATGCATGCAGTGCCTTCTGCGTCTTGCTCCTGGTCAGGAGCTGAACAAGGGCCCCTGGGCCCATGCCCCATGAGCCATAGATTTAATAGATTTCATAGACATTAGGGCTGGAAGGGACCTCAGAAGATCACTGAGTCTAGCCCCCGGCCCCAGGGCAGGAAGTCAGCAGGGATCATAGGGTCCCAGCAAGATAAACATCCAGATGCCTTTTGAAGGCGTTCAGAGTAGGTGCTTGAACCACCTCTGGCAGCAATCTATTCCAAACCTTGGGGGCTTGGACAGTAAAGAAGTTCTTCCTTATGTCCAGCCTGAAACAGTCTTGCGGTAGTTTGTGACCGTTCGACTTCGTCATTCCTTGGGGCGGTCTGGTGAACAGACATTCCCCCAGATCCTGGTAAGCACCCCTGATGAACTTATAGGCAGCCACCACATCACCCCGAGCCTGTGATTTTCCAGACTGAAGAGTCCCATAGCTCTCAGCCTCTCTTCACAAGGTCTACTTTCCTGACGTCTGATCATGCGCGTGGCTCTCCTCTGTACCCTGTCAAGCTTCTCCACATCCTTTTTGAATCATGGAGCCTAAAACTGGATGCAGTACTCCAGCTGTGGCCTCACCAAGGCCGAGTACAATGGGAGGATCATGTCTTGGGATTTACTTGAGAAGCATCTATGGATGCAAGCAAGCATTTTGTTTGCTTTACTAGCAGCAGTATCACATTGCAGGCTCTTATTCATCTTGTGTTCAGTCGTGACCCACCAAGTCCCTTTCATCTGTAGTGCTAGCCAGCGTAGCACTACCAAGCCTGTAAGTATGCTGCAGATTTTTCCTCCCAAGGTGGAGAACCTTGCATTTTTCAGTGTTAAACACCATCAGGTTCTCGTCCACCCATTTCCTGAGCCTGTCATGGTCAGCCAGGATCACCCTCCTGTCTTCAGGTGTGGATGCTTTACCCCAGAGTTTGGTGTCATCAGCAAACTTGGCCAGTCCATTTCTGATACCATATCACTAATGAAGATGTTAAATAGTATAGGGCCGAGGACAGAGTCCTGTGGGACCCCACTGGTCACAGGGCACCATGATGATCGACTTCCATCATCCACTACCCTCTGGGTCCTACCACGGAGCCAATTGCCCAGCCAGTGGATCACGGTGTGGCTGAGGCCACAGTTAGCCAGTTTTACTAAGAGGTGATCATGGGATACCAAATCAAAGGATTTTTTAAAGTCAAGATATATGACATCAACCTCTACTCCTTTGTCCAGGTGATAGATCACCTGGTCGTTGAAGGAAATGAGATTGGTCAAGCAATAGCAACCCACAACAAACCTGTGCTGGCTATCCCTCAGCATGTTACCATCGGCCAGCCTGTTAAGAATGGCCTCTTGGATAATTTTTTCTAAGACCTTCCCCAGGATAAAGTTCAGGCTGATGGGCCTATAGTTTGCTAGATCTGCTTTCCTCCCTTTCTTGAAGATAGGCACCACATTGGCCTTCTTCCAATCATTGGGCACTTTACCAGAGCACCAGGAGTTCTCAAAGATCTGTGCTAGGGGCTGAATTATGATGCTAGCCAGCTCCTTGAGTACCGTGGGGTGTAAACTGTCAGGGCCAGCTGACTTGAAGGTGTCCAGCCTCTCAAGGTGTTCCTTCACGAGGTCAGCATTGATGGAGGGTAAGGAATCTCCCTCTCCCAGGCCTCCCTGTCCCGTACTGGGCAGGGGCATCCCATGGGACTGATGAAAGACTGATGCAAAGTACCCATTTAGCAAGTTGTTTTTTTCCTGGGCGTCGGTCATCAGTTGTCCCATCTGATTTAGCAGGGGTCCAGTGTTGCCCTTGCAACTGGGGTCTGGAAGTAGGAAAGGTGAGGGACACTGGGTCGGGACTGTGAAAGGCAGGGACCCCCCCCACACACACAGGTACCAGGAGCCCACAGTCACTGGCCCGGCCTCGGGGGAGGCGCTGTCTTCCCACCCCGGCCCCAGCCCGGCCCTACCTGCAGCGCCCCAGCTGGG